TTAATAGCTCTAGTAAAACCACCCCAAAAGTATAAACGCCGCTCATGGTGGTCAGATGACCTGTCATGATGTACTCGGGTGCAGCATAGCCGTGTGTACACATCACTCGGGTGCTGACATGTGTCTCATCTCCTTCAGGACCATCCTTTGCTAGCCCAAAATATGATAGTTTAGCAGTATAATCCTGCTCACGGAACCAAACCAAAATATACCATTTAGTAAACTTGAACATATTTATGGCCCATTTGTTAGCAGCTTAATGAGCTTAATTGGACTTAGAGCTTATTCGGTCAGCTATACATGATTGTTTGGTAGTGATTTAATAATATAGAAAATGGTTTATTCAGTAAGTTTCTAGACGGGGGCTTTATGCAGAAAGTCAAGTTTTTCCCATACCTGCCTTCCCAATTAAAAAACATGCTCCTTCCATCTATGAAAAATCCCTCCTAAACAAAAATCTTTCCAATCTACACACGCAACTTTATCCGAGACTTGATGGAAAACCAACCAAACAGCTCCTACTTGCACAAAAGAATAGAAATATTATAAAGATTAATGAAAAAAGAGAATTATACTGATCCCAATAAAATATTCGAGGTTTTGAGATCGCGATAAACGACGGGTTTCTCCTCCCCATGAAGAAAGGCTAATTCTTTTGCAGCACCAAGTGCTATTTGAATTCTGGTCAACCATGGCAAAGAAATCGAATACCCTGAATCCATAAAATCATCAAATCTTGATTAATAAGTTTGTGTTATGGATCCAATTGTTATGGACCAAAGCCCACATAAACCAAGTATTTTAAAGGTATATTCTAGAAGGTCCCAAAAGGGTAGAAAAGGGAAGTGGCTAAGAAAGTTAGTTAGAGGTGAAGTGCTTAAATAAGGGAGAGGCTTGGAAGAGGAGGCATTCTGTTATTTTTCCTAAATTGTAATTGGCTCTTGGCTAAGGCTTTGAGAGAGGGAAGTTTTCCCCGGATTCCCTATTTTGTTATCAGCTTTTCATTCAATCAAATCAGCCGATTTACTCTATTCTTGTTCTGTCTTCTTACTAATTTCAATAATCTGTGAATTGTTCTAAATGGTTTACTTTCCAAATTG